CGGTGTATAGGATGCAAGCAGATTTTGACATCAAATATTGGGGTAAAAAAGTGCGTCTTATACACCGAAAAATACGGTATTTATTCGTTGAAACATAATTGTCCTTAGTTTTCATGCAATAAAACTATAAAAGATTCTGATCAGTGTGATAATATATATAAATCAGTGAAAATAAACGCACTCCAAATCTAGAAAAACAGACAACATTTACTGTTTGGCAAGAAATTGAAGACATTTTGTGATGATAGTGCTACTAGAAGTCCTCTTTGCAGATATTAAAATGATTCATAGCGTGGAAATCAAAGTATTGTAAGAAATATTTAAAAGAACAATAATACCAATTTTGTTTCTAAATCTCTCACAGATAAGGTGAAAAACTTCAATATAATTAACAACAAACAACTTTATAAACATAAAAACAACATAAACTTTTATGTGAGTAGCAGTTAATACAGATGGAAGTCTTGAAAAATAGAATAAAATAATTAAATCAGTGGTCACATTAGCCTATCAAAACATGCAATTTTTTAACACATGCTTTCTCAAAATTGGCATTTTAAAAAATAACACCTACTTTTTCCTTTACATGTTGTATTGAAGTAGTTAATACGTCGTACATATGTTTAGAAACAATGAAAGATTTGGTCACTATCAGTCAACTAATGCAACAATATTGTGTGCATGTACACTTTTCATGACAATTTAGTATAAGTTTAGTATGTTCATAAGTTTGTTCAAGATAATTTTAGAGCCTTCTGTGTTGTACCTATAAATATGTAGTTATTTAAATGATTTGTAACCAAGGTAAACAATCAATTGCAAATCAATTTTATTAGGCAAATACATATTTAGCTAAAGTAAAAACCCAGTGTTTTGAATATTTTTTTTAAGTAGCCTAAGTTTAAAGAAAAACATAAAAATTAGAATAACATCAAGTTATTTAGTAAAGTAAGACTCCTGATAGTCATAACTTTATCTTACAAAGTTTGAAAACCATTAGGGAATGAATAAGTATGTTTGAAATGTTTTCAATGTTATATTATATCAAAAAATACTTAGTAATTTAAACCAGTAAGTATCTTTTGTTACATCTATACTTTACAAACACAGTGCTTGTATTCTTTGTTTTATTAGTTTTCTACATATATAGCAAGAAATTCTGTGAAAACATAGCATGTGAATTTAATATGCATACATTTTACAATATTGGCTGGAATATACTATCAAACACATGTGCTGAGAAATCAATAAGACAAACAACTTGAATATATTAGCATTACTACTTACTTGAACTTACTTGGCCAAGCTGCATGTTACTATAGTCAGACATTTGTTTTCACTTTACAGTGTACATGTAGTGGAGCTAGTCATAACTAAACTGGAGTTCTGTTTGTATAAATAGATTAATGACTTCATGTCCTACCAAGAAGAACTGGATGTTGCTGTAAGACTTCTGAATGATTTTTTTTTCTTATTATTATCAAATCAGAAAGAATATAAAATTGTAGTATGAAAATGTTACTTACCTTAACCACACTATTCCAAAATGGATGCATAACATAGTTGCTGACAGGGCTGGTGTCCACTGAGCAATACTAGAAGGGTAAAGAAATAATAACTAAAAGTCATCTGACTCTTCTTTCAATCATTTTTAAATGCTATAATTTTCCTAATCTGAAAATGTATTTCCAAACATACTTGCCTCCAGTGACACTTTATAGTTCTTTCTCAATCTTCATCTTGGCATTCTAAACATCATGTTCGCTTGCTTCAGTCTTTATAACCCATTCAATTGCCCTCAGGCAATATTTAATTTGCAAAACTTTACACCGGCCCCCACATGTATATAATCACTTTTTTGAAGTTTATACCATCCCGGTCACTATCACCAGCTCTTAGTGGGGAGGAAGGGAGGGAGAGTGTCAGTTGAGGTATGTATGTATGTTTGGAAATACATTTTCAGATTGGGAAAATGATAACTTATAAAACATACATACCTCCACTGACACTTATAGCTAGAAT